GCCTGTGGGGCTGGGGGAGAGGCTGGGAATATGGGGGTAGGAAAAGCCGGGGTGGGGCATCCTGGTGAAGTCTGAAGTATGGAGTCTCATTTGTGAGGTGTATTGTTTGGGGGGAACAGAAAGGGGTTTGGTAAGTGACTGCTGCGTCAACCCTTGCAACTGCCATCGCTGCATGCAGATCCAACCCACGAGGAGCCCAGTTTGACACCACTGGCCTAAGACTCCATGCTTTGCATGATGGTCTCCAAGTCCCAGTGCATGGATCTAGCAGGGCACTGAAGCCTTTTCCGTGTCCAAGCTTTCTCGTGCTGCCTGCAAATGTGGTTAGTCTTCTAATTCAGGTTGTGCAGAATGCTTGAATTTAAACCTGACTGAGGAAGAGTGATTAGATGGGGTTGTTCCATTTGCATATATTGGAAATTGTTTATGAAAAAATGCTTTAAAGATACATATTTGGCCTATGAAATTAAGCACTTGAAACTTAGGAAATGTTAGAATTAAGGTCATCTGTATAACTGCAACTTAGCCTGCCTGTAATTGTGAATTATGGTAAGTCTGTACAGCAGCAGTTCCCAGATTTTTCCTGGTTGCGACCCCACATACAGATCTATAATTTTGTATGACCCCACAGAGTGGTAGCTGTTCACGTGCCCATAATTAAGGAGGAACGGAGACCCAGTGTGGAACAGCTGAGGTGCAGTTAAACTGTCCCTGTCTGCTCTTCCCCATAGTGAAAGCTAAACCAGGCCACTTACTCATGAATTAAACAGAGCTGGGTTATCCTGGGTTAGCTATCCCTTACCTTGCAGTAATTTTAGGCATAAACAGAGTGATCAGGGAGTAGCCGTCCGTCCCCACATTCTGTTAATTGCAGAGTTGGGGGAACTAAGAGTTTATGACTTCACTTGAGGTCATCACCCCTACTTTGAGATCTACTCAATTGCACAAATGGTTTAATGGTGGGGTAATACATTTGCACATTTCAGTTCCGTAACATTTGCACATTTTCTTTTCAGCAGGATGCAACAAATTTGATATGGCTTGGCAGTACTCTGTGTGAAGAGGAGTTCTCCAAGGATATGCAGAGACTGCTCAGTACTCTCCTTTGCAATGTTTTCTTTAATATTTTTATCCTCTTTGGCATCAGTTATATGAAAATGCATGTCCAATGCAGTTACTTTGAAAGGTACTGATTTTGTTTGTAAAGCTAAGAGGTACTTTTTTTTTTAAAGCTGAGGCACCTTTGTTGGCTTTTTGTATTTAGCTTGTTCCTGGCTATGATAGTACAAACACTTTATTTCTTAACACTGCATGTCTTTGAAAGGATGAATATAAATTCCTATGATTCTCTGCGAACAGAGAATCCCTTACAATAAAAGACCTGGATTGAATAGGTTTATCTAGTGTGTTTCCACTGTGGAGGTTCTACTGAAGCAACATTTAGAGCAAGTTCCCAAGACTGCATTCATTTTAATGATGTCTACTACACTGTTTTCCTTTTTGTCTGTAAAATCCCTACCCTGTGTCTTACTGAACAATGACCCGATTATTCATTACTTTGAAAAGGGCAGCAGACTAAAAGCCACATAAGCAAACTGGAG